CTTCCTTAAAAAATGAGGTTTACATGGTTTTTTCCCCTGAAAAAATGCATCCAGACTACTTTCACTTTCAAAAGTGAGACTGGAAGAAGAAATGCAAATTCCCGTGGAATTTGCATATCCTCTTTTGAAAACAGAACGTAGTTTAGATGTACCCCAAGAGCTCACCCATACCCAAGAATCAAAATCTAAAAGACTAGATTTAAAAAAAAAAATAGAACAGTGTATTGTCTCAAGCAATCACATCTACGAAAGTCTCACAAGTGTCTTATCTTCACAATTATGCTGGCAAATATGAGCACAAGCCAGACTTCCTAATTAATTCCATTATAATATTTTATATAAACAGTATGCCCTGACAAACAAATGCTACTGATTTAAATCAATTGGAGCCAATCTTATTTGTCTAAAGGAAGAACTGGGCCCAATAGCCCAGCTGGGCCCAAGTTTTACCGATCCACTTTACGTGGTAAATAAATCAAAGCAATCACGCAATTTGAATGCACTTAAATACAGTAACCTGGCCAATTTAAACTACCCTAATGTAGACATTTTCATTTTGCACACAAAACTTGCCTTTCTTCTTACTTCTCAGTTAAGATTTGATAAGAGTCCATTTGTGATTTTTTTACATAGATACTTATAAAGACTTCAGTTTTTTAACCAAATATGCTACAGAATATTTGCTAATACACGAGTAGTACCACCACAAATAAAAAAGTTATTCTTGTCCTACTTGGAAAGTTACATTCTGCATTTGGAGGTTACTACGATTAGCAAATAAGTCAACAATTTCCAAAATTCAGTCATCTCTAATTGCTCTCCAGTCATTCCTATGATTAGCTAGATTCCACTGTAATACTAGCATCATTTAAAATTCACCCCATTTGTCTCTTTATATTTACTTCATGTTACTCAAATGAAATTATAGAACTAGAGCTAGAGGAATAACCAAAACTGTAGGTGAAGCAAAATGCAGGACAAGGTAGCACTTTAAAGACTAACATTAGTTAGACTAACATTTATAGTGCTACATTGTCCTGCATTTTGCTTCAGCTACCCCAGACTAACACGGCTACATTTCTATCACAAAACTGTAGGGTGTGAGGCCCTACTTGAGAACAGTTAGGCTACGTCTAGACTGCAGACTTCTTTTGGAAGAAGCTTTTTCAAAAGAGATCTTCCAGAAAAACTTATTTCGAAAGAGAGCGTCCTCACAACAAAAGCACATCGAAAAAGCAATCTGCTTTTTCAAAAGATAGCGCCCAATCAATGTGGCCGCTATCTCGCATTCAAGTTCAGATTACTATGGACGGAGGCACCTGTGCTTTTTCCTGGAGGCCTCTTCTTTTGAAAAAAAACCCTCTTCCCCATCCACACATACCTTTTTCCAGAAGGGCTCTTTCAGAAAAAGGTTTCTTCCTCATAAAAAGAGGTTTACCACTGTCAGAAAACCTCTCTGTTCTTTCAACTTTCTGTCAAATGAACACAATTGCAGTGTGGACATAAATGTAATTTTTGCAGAAAAATTGCCTTTTTTCTGAAAAAAAAACTCTGTAGTGTAGACATACCCTCAGTAACAATGTCCTAACAAAGCAAAACTCTGTTAAAAACCCTCTGTTATTGGAGCAGCTCTCCTTGGGTATGTCTA